TTTTATAGGACGAAAACAAACAGACTGTGTTGATATTATGTAAAAAATAAAGCCATTCATAACATTAAGTAATGGCGTTGTTCGTTTTTTATGGTCGGCGTCTCGACGATACTTGCTTTTGTTTATCAACAGAGCGACTAACAACCTCAATTTCATTAGGTAGATACCTGCGTTGATAATTTCGATTTGGAGTAGGTAATAAAGAGTAGGTAATAACTTTATGTCGTTATCATCAGAAACCTTCTCAGAAACATTCTGAACGGACTCTCAGCAATGAAAAGTTGTATCCCGTGATAAACACAGACTCAGTTTATTTAAGAAGAAGAAAGAATTGTTCCAAACTACTTCAGAACCTTTCCCCTGTTCTGTACCGCATCGATCCTGCATTTCAGTTTTCAACTTGCCCCTGCTCTAATGTCCAAATGCAGCCAAGAAGCATGCTGTTCATTAAGCTACTACGAGTAGAATGGAGAATGGAGAGGAGTTTCACCCCCAGGTTCTACGCTAACTTCGCCCTACAAGAACACGAAAAAAGTTAACCCGGCAACGTTTAAAAAATGGCCACCCGAATGACCATTCCCTCCAAAACTAAACAAGATCCCGCTTAAATTTGAAAAGTGGAACGTGATAAAACATCTAAAGCACAGTAGGGAAGGAACGTAAAATAAAACAAGTTTGTTTAATAATGTCGCAATTATTAAGATTGTGAAAGCACGGAAATGTAAGTCGAAATAAATTACATTGCAAAAATAAACTTTGAAAATGGTAGTTCACCGAATAAAAATAGAAATAGGCACATAGATTCTAAACTGGAGTTTGATTAGCGTAATCCCGCTCCGGCAAGATGGGTAACCCGCCCCTGGTTTCGGTGTTTTGAGCCTACAGTTGAATATCGAAGACAATTATGGAATTAGGTGTCGTAACTCAATGTTGACTAGTTTTTTCCCACCCCCGTGACTGCTTCATTCACGGAGAAAATTGTTAGTAACAAACAACAAGTCAGTACATACATCTACAATTTCCACATACGAAACAAACAACAAGTCAGTACATACATCAAACGAATCGGCAATTTCCACATATTAAAATAAAATGAAAACTTATACGAATGTTACTTCAGGGACAAGAACGATTACAAACAATAGCATAACGGTATCACCTATGTGATTATGCATTGCGGTTAAACCAAGTAAATTTTCAAAAACAAAGATTCGATCAAACACACAAAAAATATAAAATGTGCCATACAAAACACAAATACGATATATAAAGAAATGCATATACGCGTTATCGCTGCAAGATTAAATAAACACAAAATAACAACAAACATTTATGGAGCGACGCGTTCACCATCGCCATTCAAGACACGATGCCAAACGTAACCCCTTTAGATGGCGCAGGCAGCTTTTTCCCACCTAGAAATTGCATGGTTGCCAACTCTCAAAAATGTATGTATCGTCGTAAGTTGTATATACAGGGTGGAACCTCTCAGTACCATAGGATAGAAGATTTAAATACCTTTGACATTTTCCTTCATATATAGCAGCATTAACGAACGATACAGTTAACAGTTGGTCGTAATTCCTATTCATCCACGAAAACAACTTTTCATAATTTCATATTCTTTATAATAGGCTTGACTGGATGTGAATTTTGCACCTACCAATTTTTCTTCTGCTTTTGCAACAAGCCATTAAATGGACGGTGTAGACATTTATTCGAGTATAACGTCAATACGATTTGATTTTATTTCTCTTATTTTTAAATTTTATTGCAGTATAATAACTAAAAATACTATAATAAACACGTGTATAATTTAAAGCACTTGCAACATGGTATTTCATGACACAAAAGTTTGACATTTTTGACGTCATGTGCGTCAGACAAAAAGGTGCCCCGTACGCAAAGCTTCGGACTAAAGCACGACGCGCAATGAATCGACTCGACGCCACCGATCGATTTGCTATGCAAACATTTAAATAGGCATCCGCGCACTGCGTCGGTTCGGTTACGATATCATCGACCGGTTCGGATCGACTACACGCGGAACCGTGACCGTGACGGTCAAAACTCTTGACTGTCTGTCGGCGATCGACAATTTTTGCCTCTTCGGCCATTCTGCGTTGTAGTCGATCCGAACAGGTCAATAACCAATTCGACGCAGTGCGCGGATGTCTATTTAAATGTTTGCATAGCAAATCGATCGGTGCCGCCGAGTCGTTTCAATGCGCGTCCTGAGGGCATCGATTCCCGAAGTTAGTCGATATGCTCCGTGATGTGACCGGGCTGCCATGACGTCATGATCGTATACGATAGGGATAAGTTCAAGTTTAGCTGCATTCCCGACTCATGGACAAACTTTATGCGTTAACCAATCACAGACAAAAATTGAACTGTCATTTGTCATTAATAACCAGAAAATCCTCGAACAATTTCATCTTTTATTTCACAGAAAATATGTATAGGTTAGGGCACTGAATAACCCCTAGCAAAACAGCTGCAAGATCCGTCCTGTAGCTGCAACTGCGCATGACTTTCACGCAACGAGTGGTCTAGACCGTCGTTGCGTTCGATTAACTTATCGCTCGATTTGGTATTCTAGGTTCGAGAATGCAGTCACATTCACGTTCACATAAAGGTCAGTCGATGTAAACCCCAGAACAAAAAACTTAGAAGGGAAACGTAAACGGGAACAACTGAGTACAAACATAATTAGTTTGGAGAACATTCAATAGAGGGCGCATAGTTAGCGTGCGTGTTAAAGTTACTAAATCTAGTAACTTTAGTGCGTGTTCGCCATTATGACAGTTGAATTTTGAATTTTGATTGACGGCTTATTGTGCTTTAAGTATAATTACTATTCGTTATTACAATGAATTCTGCATACACAAGTCGAGAACGTACATGTTGTGTGACAAATTGTGAAGACGTTTCCCAAAAATGGAGCCCGAAGTTTTTAAGAATTGGTTTAGAATATAATGTGGAAGAAATTTACACAAAAGTTTTTGGTTTGTGAACGTCATTTTTCTGGATGCGGTTTAGAACCTGGAACACGAAGAGATTTAAAGCGTGTGGCAGTTCGCACATTATATTAGCAGGTAACACTAATTGAATTGTAATAAATTGCCACATAGGTATTTTATTTTTAGAACGATCTGGAGAGCATCATACAGTAGAGTTCCATGAAGTTGATCTTGTATCTTATATAATCGTATTAAATTAAATATAACTCCTTGATTGGATTAATTGGAGTTGTTACTTATAAAACAAGTGCCCTGTACTCTTTGAAGGCCCTGACTGGTGAGGTGCATCCGCATTAAACTGAATTTATTTGGAACCCTAACAAATAAAATTGGACTTCACTGGCTGGATTCATTTACCTTTTAGGTTTCAGCTAGTCAAATCCAATGTTATTGTTACAGATCCGGAGAAATTCACTATAATGCGGACGTAGCTTACATTTAATATTTAAATTTGGCGCCATTCACGCAAAAGCTGCTGAGAACATACACGAGATGGCGCGTCATTTTTACATTACACTACAGTTTCCATTCTAAGTTTGTTGTTCTATGGATGTAAACAAAGCACATCTTCGGGAATCGACGCCCACTGCGCTTTATTGTCGGCGAAAACTCACTTCTCGAAATTTTAGCAGTGTACATTAGGCCGTTTCAAACACGGTTTTTTTTAAATATTTGATTTGAGCTAGGAAGCTGTTTCGTCAAGAATTTGGCACCTGGTTTTATATCAAAACAGAATCAGAATTTTTAATACCTGGACATTTCATTCCTGGTTTTGTAACCCACAAACGAAACGAATTTGATAGGAGAAGAACCTGGAACGTCTGGACGAGACGCATATGGTGTTTGGGGATTATAGCTTTGTTGCACCATGTTCTGTTTTATAACGATATATCCTATACTACATTCATTATAAGAAGGTAGTAGATGGCGCTGTGTTTGCACATAAACACACACAGGAAAAATATAAAACGGCACCAAATTATTGTAAAGTAGAAATATTCAGCACTGCGAACAGAAATAAACCTTTGACAATAACAGCTAATGACACTTCGGCAGTTTAGTTGGCAACATAAACTACCACCTTACAAAATTCACCAGTCGTTTTATGTTTCATTGTAATACTGACTCATGTTTTAACCAATCACAGTGAAGGTCAAAGCTTCCCTATGCTTTCTACCGCTACCTTCTTAAAATGAATACATTCAAGATCCCAGATATAAAATTCTGATAAAACAATCGCAATATTTGGAATGTCTACACGTTTATAGTATCACATAAGCAATTTAGCATGGTAAAAAGATACATTTGAATGATCCCAAGAATGAACTTACCTACTGTGTAAGTGTATCCGCAAACACTGTATTACTGTCGATATCGCTTTATAAATGGAAATTTTTACTGATACCGCCAACATTTGAAAATAATTTTGATAAAATAGTGCTCAAAATTTGACAACCAAAAAGTCTATTCTTCTCACTCACTCACTAAAATTATTCCAGTTAAATGACACAGTTTTGCCACGGTTGTAAGAGAATGTTGCATTTTTATTCTTATAATATTATTCAACCGAACTAGTACTGTAATTGTTACTCATGTCAAGCACCAGATATAGATAGATAAACAAATATTAGCATATAATTTTATTTATTTAAATATACACATTACATGTAGGTATCTAAAACTAATATCACACAACCAAAATGTTAAGTTTATTCTATTTATCACACAGATGTGACTTAAACAACTAGTAAGATATTATATACAATAACAAAAAACAATACTCTGAAATATTACTCAGATATAATAAATAATAATATACAAGAGAAAGGTAATAATTCAGACGACTGTTTAATGGTATCTTATTTGAAAGTAATACATGAAGTGATTAAAGCTCTAAATATTTCAATAGTTTATAGACAAACAGTCTTATTTATTCCTCTGTTTAAGTTTCTTACACTCTAAATAGGTAGCTACCCGGTTCATTTGCTCAATAGCAGAAAAAACCGGTAAATATTTATAACAACAATTCGTTATCATATCCCCCACGTATTTGTGCTACACATATTTTTATAAAAATAAAACTATCCACTTAATTCCAGTTAATGCGCTTAGCCTTTTGCCACACACATATCAAAGATATCATTAAGACAGATAAAAAGTATTTGAAAGCCTGCAAAAATTATCGCATGGTCTCATTATTTAGTGTAGTTAATTGGTGATAAATCGCCACTAATTAGTTGTTTGCAAAATGACCCAAGTTAAAAAAATATGTTTACACATTCTTGAACTGGATCGGAGAAAAAGTTGAAACTTTCCATTGGAATATAAATAACAATTAAGGTCTTATACAAATTAATTATTTATCAGAGGTCGAGGTTAAAATGTGATGGAAAATTTACAGATCAGATTCCTATTTTTTTGTTAATGTGCAATGAAATGATAATTCAGCAACCTTTGGGATATCTTTTAAGGAACGGTTCTTTCTCACGCTTTTCCAGCGATGGTCAGCGAACTATGCTCGAAATACTGCTCGTCCGTGAAGGATTATTCATGCTCTCGTCGTCGGAATGATCAGGAGATATTCGAATCGCTTGATACCATTGATTGGTTAAGTCCGTCATTTGACTCTTGCAATCTTTTAATTCCTATATCAACAAAAATTCGTATCAGACGACTGTCAAGTGTAATCAACTGACATTTATAAATAATGGTCACAAAAACGGTGACGGTTGTAAGCTCAAATTTTGGTGTTTGGTCGCTAAGGGGCGTTGCTTACATTTTGTCGATTTTGTTTTGATGGCCCATAACCTTTTATTAATAATAGTCGTTGAATCAATATTCTCAAACTGGTTTTTGACACAGAATTATCTGATGTGGTTTTGTTTAAATATAGGGTAGGTGCACCAGTTTAAAAATGTAATAAACCTTCAGAAATGTTATAGGAATGTGGTGTACCAATCCAAGTAGGAAAAAAATATGATTTTTAAAAAATCAACATAATCATGATTTGTTTTATTTTTTGATAAATAATTGTAAATATGTATCATAGTAAAAGTATGGTTTAAACATTTATAAAGAAAAACCTACTGGTCCTTTTGATCAAGTAAATTATATGACATAGCCCCAGTTGCATCAACAAAATTAAGCCTTGCTTAAAGTTAAGTCGAACTTAAAATCAATGGCAATGATTATTAAGACATTCGTTGCTATGGTATTAGGTTATGCTTAACTTTAAGGGATACTTAATTTTGACGGTGCAATTGGCCCTTAATAATTTAACCTGGAAGATAACAAAAATACGAGCAAAAATATTTGTTTGTGTTTCATTGAGAAAGTTTACTTTGACCTATTCTGTACACCTTTCAAACATCATCATAGCGACCAACTGAAATTTTCGGTACACACCGATTTCGTGGCTGTTATTATTTTTCATTGTACCATGTGTCCTATTTTGGTTGAGAATGCGGTATAATTTTTTAAACTTTAGTCATTAACCAAAAATTAAAAAAATTACCTTATTTTTTTTTACTGTTTTTAAATAGTTGGCCATGGATTCATGGAGATTTTATTTTATTGTATTCATGGCAACCGATACTAATCAATAAAAATAGCTGACAGTAGAAATATGCCATTATGTAGTACATAATTATATAAAAAAATATAGGTTGTGATGCATCATTGTAATCAGGAAAACAAATGCATACAATTGACTTTAAGATATATAGGGTGTGTTGAAGTACCTAATATAGGTTTAACTCAGTTAGTCAACCGGTACGCCATCCTATAAGGTTGCAATTCCTCTAATGGAAAATCTCAAAGAGACATTAGGTCAACTGGAAAAATTAAAAACTATTGAAAAAGTCACAGAAAGTGCTAATTGGATAAACCCTCTAGTGTTAGTGAGAAAACCAGACAATAAATTAAGAATATGTCTTGACCCAATGGAATTAAACACAGTTATTAAAAGAGAGTATGCAACAATTCCAACAATTGAACAAATTACAAGTAAACTAGCAAATGCTACGATTTTTAGTAAATTAAATTATATGGGACACATAATTTCAGGGGAAGGTATAGAACCAGACAGTAGGAAAATTGATGCAATTAGGTACAAACATACCTAGACCTAAAGATAAAAAAGAAGTACAAAGATTGTTAGGAGTTTTCACGTATGTAACTAAATTCATAAAAAAATTTTCTTGTTCAACGGAACCATTAAGAAATCTGTTAAAGAAAGATGTAGAATTTATTTGGCTTGATGATCAGGAAAATGCTTTCAATCAGTTAAAAGAGGCGTTAAGCAAAAAACCAGTACTGCAATACTTTGATGCGAAGAAAGATACAATATCAGTTGATGCTTCAAAATCAGGGTTAGGAGCGTGCTTCTTGCAAAATAAATTACCATGTGCGTATGCATCGAGGGCTTTAACTGAAACACAATGTCGTTATGCTCAGATTGAACAAGAGTTGTTAGCGATAACATTTGGTTTGACTAGGTTTCATGACATTATATATGGAACAAAAGTAACAGTAGAAATGGATCATTTACCATTAATTACAATATTAAAAAAACCTTTGCACAAAACACCAGCACCAGCACTACAAATTCAAAAATATGATTTTGAAATAAAATTTATACCGGGTAAACATTTATTAATAACGGATACGCTATCAAGGGCATACGTAAACGATAACGAAAAAGATGAGTTTGAGGAAGAAATAAATGCACAAGTATGTTTGGTAGTGTCACAAATCAATGCAACAGAAGAAAGGATGAGTGAATTCAAAATTAAAACTAATAATGATAATGAATGACAGTTATTAAAATCAGTTATTATTAACGGGTGGCCAAAAAACATTAAGTGTGTTAATGATGCTGTTAAAATATATTGGAAGTACAAACATGAACTAACAGTAATAAATGATTTAATTTTTAGAAATACAGCTTTAGTAATACCACGTTTAATGCGAAAAGAAATGCTTGAAAGAGTCCATTACAATCACTCAGGTATTCAAAAATGCTTAAAGATAGCTTCAGAGTCAATATTTTGGCCTACCATGAATAATGACATAAAGCAAACAATAATAAACACTTGTATGAAATATTCCAACTCGCAAATAAAAGAACCATTGCAGAATCACGAAATTCCCAGAATACCATGGAATAAGGTAGGGTGTGATTGATTTGAAATTAGAGGGCAAAAGTATTTATTAGTAATAGATTATTATTCAAAATATTTGGAAATAGAGAAATTAGGTATAAACACAACTAGTAACAAAATACTTGAGTTGTTGAAAACTATGTTTGCTCGACATGGGATTCCATTAACATTGGTAACTGATGGGGGCCCACGATTTTCATCATGTGAATTTAAAGTTTTTGCAAAGAATTGGGAATTTAATCATATCTTAACGTCACCTACAAATGCACAATCCAATGGAATGGCCGAAAGGAATGTACAAACTGCTAAAAAAATGTTGAAAAAGATCATTGAAGATAATAAAGATTTACAAATGGCATTGTTGACATACCGAAATCAAAAAATTGACAATGATTATTCACCAGCTAGACTGGTCAATCTAGGCAGGTTTATACAAGTGAGGTAGACAAAATTAGTAACAAAGTGATCTCTGCGGAAATGAGTACTCAATAGGGTGCTTATTAATCCCTCAAAAATTGCACTTTGTCGCATTGGTGGAACTTGGAAAAAAATGGCCGCCATCTTGATTTTGTTCGAATTTATTAAATATTTCGTAAAGTATACATTATATCAAAAAAACTCAAGAGACTTTTTTATGGAGAATCAAAAGTTACCTATAATAAAAAAGTTTAAGTCTATTGATCAAAAAATAAAAAAGTTATTGAAATTTATATGATTTGGCAATATGGATTTTTTAAAAATTTGGTAAATATCTGAATTAGTTAAAACTGTTTTTGTATGCCCAATTTTCCAAATAAGGATTTTAAAGTAAAATACTCAATAATTGGGTAATTATTCACATGTTGGCAACACTGTCCGACACCGACGCGACGGCAACTTAAGACGACCGTGTTACTATGCGGTTTATTGTTTTAGTTTCCGCGCAATTCGTAAGCGAATAACACATGGTGTAATTTAGACGTGATTGTACGAATTCTGACTTGTTTAAACAATTTTTTTCGTGTTTTTTAATTACTTAGTATCCTTGAGCCTGCTCGAATATTCTTATTATTATATTTGTTTTTCTCCCCTAAAAAAGTTGGATTTTTCGTCGGATTTTTCTTATTACATTTTTTTTCGGGTTATGTAGTTTTTCATTCAACACATAAAAACTCTTCGAGCTTTTTTATAAAATGCATACTGTTCCAGATATTAACCAAATTAAAAAAAATCCCTATATAGACAATTCATATAAATCTCAATTTTTTTTTGTTTTTTGGCAAATATTCTTGAAAATGTCTCTATTATAGGTATATTTTGATTCTCTGTAAAAATGATCTTTTGAGTTTTTTTAATTAAATGCATACGTTACGAGATATTCAATAATTTCAACAAAAATCAAGATGGCGGCTATTTTTTTCTAAGTTCCACCAATGCGATAAAGTGCGATTTTTGAGGGGTTAATAAGGACCTTATTGAGTACTCATTTCCGCAGAGATCACCTTGTTACTAATTTTTTCTACTTCAACCACCTATTTTGACTAGCCTAAGCGGAAATATTAATGTCTAGAAAATTAAGATCAATCTTACCATCACAAATCAAAATCTTTTACTGATAGTAATTAAACAAAATCAATATAATAAATTTTTAAATCAGAGGCAAGTTACTAGTCGGCATTACTATGACAAGAGCTAAGAAATTACCAGAATTAGACATAGGAATGCATGTAATGGTACAAATAAAACCAAATACTGTATGGACACCAGGCAGGGTAGTTAGTATACTTAAAAATAGGACATACAAAGTAAACATGGAGAATGGCGCTATTTTGATAAGGAATAGAAAATTCATTAAAATTAATTACAAACGCAATTGTCCATCATTTACTATAAGACAGGAGGGAAGTGAGCAGGATGTATTTAGGAATAATATGAGACCAGAGCCTACTAAAGTATATATAGATATTGAGAACGAAAATAATAATGTAATAGAAAATAAGTCAGTTAGCTCCAGGGGATATAGTTACTAAAAGCGGAAGAATTGTTAAAGCACCTGTGAAGCTAGATCTGTAACAAAGGGGATGTTGGAGTACCTTGTATAGGTTTAAGTCAGTTAGAGTTACGTTGACAACAATGTTGAGAACTAGTGGGTAGATGGATAATGTAAGTAACGTTTCGTAGAAGCAAATTAAACTAGTCTAAACGAAGTATTATTCTTTACCTAACAAATACCACATAAAGAAACAGGGTGCACATTTAAAAAATACCAACATTGGGTCCAATCTTAGAAAAGGTGGCTCAACACATTTTTTTGAGTAGGTACGCCACTGGATTATACGTAAAAATATCTAACACAAACAGTTTTTACCTTTTTTCTATCTTGCATGGGTACTAAGATATGATAACATCCCCAAAAAGTCAAACTTTTTGTTTTCACCCTGTATCTCAGAAACAAAAGTAGCTAGATTTAATTCCGGTGTGTTATTAAAGAGTTTAAAAAAAAAGTGGCAGTGGGTCGTGTGAAGAGACACTGCAGCCTCAACCAAAATAGGACACACTGTACATTAATAAACATTCAATGAATCTTACCTGTTGAGTAAATCGTCTCGTGAAGAAAGGAATGAAGTACTTCAAGTCGTACTTGGCGAAACCCTTAATTCGCGACGAAACAAAGGTGACCTCCCCTTCCGCCTCCGTAGTTTCCGATAGATGCTCAGAGTCGATCGCCTGTCCCCACTCTCTCGTTTTGCTCAATGTAACCGCGCGATCCTTCTTGCGCCGCCTGGTCCTTCGAGCCAAGTTGTTCGAACTTTTTGTCGCCTCCATGAATTTCAGTAGCGGCATCGTGGAGCCGCCCAAAAATAGGGTCGTACACAGCACGATTATTAGCGTGGTCGTTATGATGACGTGCCTAGTTTCGTCGCTGAAATTCAAATGGAGGGACAGAGCGTACGAGATCGCTCCTCGCAGGCCGCTGAACCACATTATGAACATCATCTTCCGCGTTATTTGATGCTCGCGGAATCGGTTGACGAGAAAAGCGAGCGGGAAAATGTTGCAGGCGCGACCAATCAGGCAAAGGATTATGCTCCAGACGATCAGCGCCGGTTCCACGCGGTGCTTGAAGCTGAACAGCGCCAGCCCGAGGTAGGCGAACACGCATGTCTCCGCAATGAAGGCGAGCGTTCGCAAGGTCTGCTGCATTGTTATTTGCGTTACGGTGGAGAGATTGAAATGGGTATAGTGGGACATGACGATTCCGCAAAACAGAATCGCCATAATGCCGGACAGGTGAATGCCTTCGGCGAGTACGTAGGGGGCGTACGTAAACACCAACATCATGCCGAATTCCAAGGACGGATTTTTACGCAAGTCGACGTACTTCAGCAGCAAAGCACTAACGAGCGCGAACATCACGCCAATACCGGCCGAAGCAAAAAACATAAGACAGAAACGATTAATACCCTGCATTATCGCCGCCCCGGTCGAAGTCATCGGACTATTCGACTCCAAAATGGCCGTAGTTAATACTATAGAAATTGCGTCGTTCAAAATACTTTCGCCGAACACCAACATGTTTAAAATCGGATCGACGTTCAATGCGTGAAATATTGCAATCGTAGCGACCGGATCGACTGCGGAAATTAAAGAGCCGAAGGCACACGATTCTACAAAGCTCAATTTATAGACGACGTCGGCTAGCCCGAGAAAGTAAATGCCGAAGCCGGTTATGAAAGCGGAAATTGTGGTGCCGAATATCGCGAACACCAAGATCGAGCCGATGTTTTGGAAAAAATTACCCTTGTGCAAATTATAACCGGATTCGAAAATGATCGGCGGTAAAAGGATGAGGAAGAAGGCGGTCGGCGAGAACGCCTCTTCCTTTCGCCAGTTGCTAACATTCTGATTGGAAAGAGTATTTAATGTCATACCGACTGCCGCTCCCAGAATGACAATCACGATACTTTCCGGAATGTATTGGAAGCCGGTGTGCAGCAAAAAGTGAATGAGCAAGATTCCAAGCGCCAACACGCACAGCACGAAGAATATCGCCATGGAGCTGTTGTGCTCTTCTTCCGCCGCCGTTTTTGCCGGTAATACTGGATCGGGCGGTGGAGGTGCTGCTGTACTTCTTGTCGCATTATTCACAACCACTTGTGCTACAGTCGACGAAATGTGCTTAACATCGTTACTGGATGCGGATGGATCGACAGATGTTGAAATATTACTGATTGCGCTGCTTACCTCAGGTTTCGCAGTTGCGAGCGGGTTGCTGTTGTTCGACTCATTTTCGTTTAGAGAATTTCCAAAAACTTCCTCAGATGCGACACTGGTGCATAAGAATAATACAAGGAAAGCACCTCCAACAAACTTCATCTTCGTCAAAATTTGATTACATTCACACTGATAAAATGCACTTTTGATGGTTAAACTTCTCTTCTTAATTTGTTATAACTGCCTACATGTTAAATCGTCGTATTTATAAGAAAATGATAAAGCACAGGTGCTTATCACTGGAACGTCACGTGCTTATCATTCGTTGACGGCTGACGTAACAGAGGCACAAACATAAAAAATGTACAGTTCTAAAAGTAGTCGGCCGCGAGATCGAAAGTAGGTCTAAAAATTAGAACAAATCTCCGTATTGGAATTTGTTGTATCTTAAAAGTACGCACTCTAAGAATGAAAAGAAAATGTAAAAAGAGAGTTACGCATCGCACGTCATTCATAATAACATTGTATAATTTGTTCGTTCATAAGTTCAGTTCTAATAAAGAAAACTTGTTATGTTCTTGTGTTCTACCATCCAGAAATTATAATGGCCGATTGCACCGACAAATTTAAGCGGCGCTTAGCTTAAGCGTAGTTTAAAACCCATGGCAACCATTGTCTCAATAATCGTTGCCATAGATTTTAAGCTACGCCGCTTAAATTTGTCGGTGCAAACGGCCATAAAAGAATTTGAGTAGTGGACAACACACAAAGCACCATTGTTTCATAACAGACAAATTATTTTCAAAAGAGAAATGCAGTGAGATGTTTTTGGTTTCGTATAAGCGCTTTATTTATGCTACGCAAGGTCTGGCAAGCCTGTCAGTTCGAACAGTCCGCCTCAGCCGAAGTCGGTAGCCGAATGGGCTGACGACCCTCCCTATAGAGGAACGCAAATTCATTTAAGTTCGCGCAGATGGCGTATTTATCCCAATGACGTCACAAAAATCACCGCCAAGTTTGAAAATGCCATACGCTTCATACTAGAAGTAGATATCGCAAGTGTGTAATAATGACACTGGTCATATTTGCAATCCTTGGGAGTCTCGTTAACCAGCTCTAAAATATTTTTAATATTGGTTATAAAATTACATTGACTACATTTTAAAGTTATTTAATATTGGCCGCGTTATTGCACAGATCACATGTTAAAGCTTTAAATGTATTGTGGGTTAGCAAAGCATTTTGAAGCGAGAACTATTATTGCGTAATTACACTGGACGAATTTTAAATCCTTGGAAGTTCTTGTTCGTTAACAGATGATTTTTAAAAATACCTTTGCTTACTATTAGTTGCATAACTACACTGGACACATTTTATGTCTCCTTTGAGTTTGTTATAATCCACCCTGATGGTTAGGCAACACACGTTTACATCTGAAACAAAAATATAATATGTCCTGTATATCACCAACGACCGTTTTGGGCAGATGCCGAATACTAGGGATTTTTCGTAACGAAGCTAGGGGAATGAAGAAGATGGCGAGGAGGTCTCAATGAGGTCGACGGAAGGCACACGCTTTCCCGTTTTTTTTTTTTTATTTTTTGATTATTTTTGTTGGTGGTGTTTTGAAGGTGTATTTACAGGTAGTCACGATTTTATTCTTTCTGGTACTAGCTATTTAATCATTGAATTTGTTGCCACAATTTGATATTATTTACATTTTGCTGATTTTGCATAAACTACGATATCTCTATCATGGCGTACTCCATGCCTTTGTTTTGAGTCCCGTTAGATGAATCATGTTTGTTTGTTATACTGTACAGATGATTATCCATTATTTTGTTTAATTAAGTTTTTATTTCTGTATTCACGAGAAGTTGATTATCAGTGCGATGTTGCTCTGTTCGATTGATCTGTAACTATTCTGTGAGGAAAGTACCTGATACAGTTTGATTGTTCGCTGTATCTGTTACTTTCTTATTCATGACAAGCTACAGTTCTTGTGCGTTAGCTATACGAAGGGGGGCTCTTTTATTTGATGTTTCGATGTTTGTGTGTGCGAGTGGGTCATTCTGTCTCCGTGGAGTAGGTACATACCTAATGCAGTTCGATCTTTCGCTGTATCTGTTGCCTACTCGTCTCGTGCAGATTGTAGCTCTTAACATCTTAGCAATACGAGTGGGGGCCCTCTCATTAACATTTCCTCTATTTAAAATATGTGTTGCTTGAGCGATAATCGATTTTCACATGAATACTTGCTATTGGCATTCTCCCATGTACTTCTCGTGGTAAATTAAATTATGTTAACGGAAGGCTGGAGTAGAGCCACACCATACTTGTGCGGCCTATGCCGGGGTTTTTGTCTCGTAGAAGGTTTCCCTGGCATGGTCTTGTTGTGTGCGTTAATATATTTATTTGTTCTTGCCATTTCTTACGCACAAAAGTTCTGTCTTTTATTTAATTCCCTTCCCGACTATGTCTCACGTCTCAACACATAAAAGAACCAATTACACAACGTAGGAGTCCATTCGTGCCCCCCATATCGAGCCGATTGCCATCCAAATTCAAAAGTGCCGCGAAACGTCAATCGTTTCGACTTGAAAGGTAGGTGGCTCTACTTGTAGTTTTGGCATAGTTGCCAACGGTAAGTACAGGGTAAGTCAACGTTTTCAGTGTCGGCTTGATAGACCCCCTAGGATCATTACAAGTTCTATGCTTCAACAATAAGTGAGTTTTGGAACTGGATTTATAATTGGTTGTAAAATCAGTAAATTACACAGTGCACATTTTACAACCGTGAATTCTTGTGCATAAACGTATGATTTTTACCACTAGCAGCTAGCAAGGGTGATGTTGCATTAGATTAGGGTAAAAAATGACCCCTTACTTTTTTTTTAACAGAAATGGACGTTTTGAAGCACCAGAAATCCGAATCAAACAAAATCCCGATGATGTCGATCCGTCTGTCGGTCTGTCTGTCTGTACTCTCATTTCTAGGTAAACGCCTGAATGGATTTAAACCAAATTTGTCACACATATTCTTAGACATAAAACGAAGAGCTGAAAAGCTTTTGGAGAGAATCGCGCAAGCGCAAATGTGTCAAACTCCCATTTCCGGCTGAGCGGCTGAACCGATTGGAACCAAATTTGGTACACACATTCTTAGACTTAAAAGAGCAGAATCGCACATACGCAGGTGGGGGTGGTTGGTGGAATCTGTACTAGCCACAGCAATTTTTTTAAACTGTATTTATTAGTTGCATAACCACACTGGGTACACTTTCATCCCTTGGAATATTTGTGCATTAACCAAGGGTTGGAACCGGAACCGAAAAGAACCGGTACAGGAACCGGAGCCGATTGCATTTATAATCCCCTCACTTTGGAACCGATCCCGTACCGTTATTATTAGTGCCAAAGAACCGCTATTTTTCGGTTCTCTTTCTTTTTGTGAAAGGGAAATGCGTTCTATATTGTTGCTCTTAACATTTGTCTCTGAAGTGTTGGTGTTGTTGCTTATATAGCCATATAGGTAACAAACCAAAACCATCCAGAGAATTCTAGAGTCAGCATACTTACTTTCTGGGAAGTACACAAAACCGGCACCGGAACCCTAATTAAGCAAGTATAAATTGTGCACAACTCTTGTGCAGATAAAGCGCATTTTTTTAACCGAAATTTGTTTTGACATCATCAATGGATATATGTCTTGCAGACGTCTCAGTCGCCCTTTGTGAGTACCCTCTTCCGGCAATCCGTTCTTGAGGTATAAGGGAAAATACCCGATCACGTTAAGAGGTCGAGGAGGAGGGCTATGGTTAATTCCTTTCGTTGAAACCTTTCATTAGAGTACCATGAAGGATAAAACTAGTTCCCCCCCCCCCCCCCAGGGCAGTCGTTGGTAGAAAACGGTTCCTTTCGTTGAGACCTTTAATTAGAATACAATGAGAGATACAATTAATTTTAACCATTACGATATCGTTTGTTAACGACAATATACAGAATAGACCCTAAATATGGTTCGCTTTAGACCAAGAGCCAGTCAGCAATTTTAAGTTGTCATTTTAAGTCATGAAATTTCCCACAGTAAATCCGCTATACCTACTGAATATCCAAAGTCACTCTTGGCCGCCATCTGTGGCTGATGTACACTACCCCAGATGAAAAATATTTCGTAATTTATTTGCGTGTATAGGTCATGAAGCAATTATAACAGTTTGCAACGCTGTTATAAGCAAATGCCTTTTGCGAAACTGAATTCATGTATCAGTGGTAATACTTTGACTAAGTACGTTAGTATATTTATGACGGTGAAGATAAACAATTAATTTTTTTCCCATAATCTTATATACTTATGGCAGGGCAATTCACTTTTTTTAGAAGTGCTGTAAATTTAGTTAAAAACAAACTGTATACAATCGATGCAGAACGTAAGGTTACGTTCTGGTGGCAATCGCCCCAAGGAAATTCTTGGAAATAGGTAGGTATGATTTTAAACATTGTAAATACGATACGATACTCATCACACATTTCTGCACTATTTTCTTTGCCAGAAGTTTTCCCCGCTCAAAAACGACGGTTTCGCAAAATTCTTTTTTAAATAACTAATATCGGAAACTGGTCTACTCTCCATTTCTTCGATTAATTTTCCAACTTCGTCATGCAGTGATATGTGATAACGTACATTAATTTTGAAACGAAGTAGAGAACTCTAATTTGTTTAGAAATGTCAAACGCTGACTGAGTAATTTTCGGACATATAAAATGTTTGTTGCTGTTTGTGAGGAATGTGCATCCCAGTTTGTCGTATGTAAAAGTATCATTGAATTATACTGTATATAGTAGTTTAGAACTTTAAAATTTTTTAGAACCCTCTTACTTTAGATCAGAATATCGGTAACCACAGTTCGAATCAAGAGGGCAGAGTTCGAATTTTTTAACGTAACCTCACTTTACCAGCGATTGTCCGATTGCCGTTTGGTAATTTTCCTTTAAAGTAAAATGAATTTTCAACGCTTAAGTGCATGGTTTCTCAAAGATTCGGGGAAACAATTTGTGTTTGGCTGTGCAGTTGCCACCTCTATCGGGATAGGATGTCTTCAAGTGCTTCCGAATACTTTCCTCTTGGACAAATACATGGAAATTGTTCGCCTATATCAGTAAGTTATTATACCTCAAATTTTTGTGTTTAAATTAAAAAACTTTGTAGAAATGGTTTTACAGTTCCTCTCCCAAGACCACTGCTAGAACGGTTTAAGAAGGCAATGGATTTACTAGAGGTTGTCATGCTAGATACACTTATTCACTTTAACCATCTGCATTTTAGATCGAGGAAGTTGACAAAAAGCAGTTTCAACCGTTCATGGGATGTGGTTTTGATATCTTTAGTAGAGGAACGAGCTACAGTCAATTCGGTGCAGTAATCGGTTTACCCATCAATTACACTTACATCGATGAAGATCATATAGAAAAATCGAGAATCAAGGTAAAGTGCCTGCAACTTAATCAAAATGTCTACATTTTCAAATTTACAAAAGTTATAGGTTTTAGATCATTCAGTGGCGTGGGAGACTGATGACGGTGAACGTTTGTTGAGATCATTAATTGTCTCTGAAAATGCCCAGATATACGCAATCGCTCGAGAAATCAAAATGAGGCAAACTCCGAAGTATTTCATTGATTTAATCTCGTCAATGGGAATGTTTATGGGCATGTATTCAGTTGGCAATCACATGAATAATAAGTACAACTTATACGCCAAGTCGCGCGGTGTACGGTTGATTTTATATGGATTACTCGGTTCGTTCGCTCTTGTAAGTTATCTTTTTATCAAAGATGCGAATCAGGTTTTCTTTGAGAATAAAATCGATACGTTCTTAAAGAACAAGAGCCCAGTTTTTCAAGAAGGCGGTAAAGAATTTTATGACAGTATTTTAAATAGGAATATTGCCTTGCGTTCAATTATGGGAAAAGTTGGAGAATATCATTATACCATAGCAGGTAATGAGAATTATACCTTTAGGCAAAAACATTTACCATTAGTGCAAAGGAAGGCTTTTTTTGCTGACAGTGGTTTACCTTTGCAGAGTGCTTAAATTTAGTAATGTGTAATTTGTATTTTATGTAAATAAAAAGTATTCCACATTGGAGAACTTTATTTTCTTATTAATTGCACTGCTATATTTTCATGTGCAATGCCATAGATTAAAGGAACAAAATTCCTATACCAGTGTTCAAAAAAGGTAGGCAACACACCTTGCAGGGAAACTAATTCCAGAGATGCTGCGTGAATTGGAGTTATTTTTTGCACAAGAATGCGTATACCACACGCAGCACAGTTGGAGAAGAGGTTATTTCTAGGTTTAAGGTTCACTTCTTAATTTTTTTTGAAGAGCAAACTTAAGACCCATTAGACGATGCAAGTTATTATTGCAATTCTTGCAGCAATTCATTGCCACACGAAATTACCGAAACATTGTTCCGTGTATTGTCAAAGTTGCAAGTGCATGTTCTTGCAGCAAGACAATTTTCTTGTTTAGAGCTTGTGCTATTTTTCATGCCATTTAGTAATTATTTTAGATTTTAGTAACATTTCAATATGAGCGATACCATTTCTATTTGTTATTATTACATACAAAAGATAATACCACACATTATCTTTGTACATATCTACTTATGCATTATACGCGCACAAAATTTTGCACCAAGATATCGAAATGTTTTCATATGTATCTTAGTTTCGATGCCGAAGCATGCGGATTCATTTATGAGAATATGCTGATAGGATAATCAGAACTATCGCACGTGGAGAACTGAACAAAACTTTACCGTTATACTATCTCTCGGGCAACGTTAGAATAATATTTGAATACATGAACCGGAGCGTGGAACTGTGCTTGATAACTTAATTAATTGCAATTATTGTTTAGTTTTGCGTGTTAAAAACAATATAAACTATGATGCGCTTACAAAACCTTATAAAACAACAAAAATTATCCACCTACCCCTGTTATAAGTGACTGCGCTTATTCGATTAGACCTAATTAAGTACTATAACTGGCTTTAGAAACGGGTCACAAAAAGCTTTAAAAATCGTCATAAACGTAACCACCACACAAAGAGACCCTTTTATAGATTTGGTTGCGAAGATGCTAAAAAAACATCCTCTATAATTATATTTGTAACATATGCTGATGGTGTAACAAGCGGGAGTATGGTATATGCGATTTGCGAAGACAATTGTGTCTCCCTTCCGTTCTACAATCCATAGTTAACAACCTATGTTACATTTAGAAAATAATAAACTTTTAGAAAATCATGCAAAAAAAAAAAAAAACACTTTTGGAGAGACAGATTTGTAACGGTTTATTTTCTCCATTAGAAGCATTATTATTGTTCACTGTATATTTATCTTCGTAACCTTTGAATAGATGGCTCCATCTATTGTTAGAATGTAAACCACGCAATTTTAGTGCGCAGTGCGTTTCGATTTGCACTTTCTTTCTGTCGAGAACTTTATCCAGTTACACTTCGTTTTACTCAAACAACAGTTAGAACACATCGAATTATAATTGCCAACATCCATATTTTATTAATCTCTATAGATCTCCATCTCCATAGGAGGATATAATTGCGTTTTTCTATCATGCTATCGTTTGGTCATATTACAATTTCCGTCGAAGATTGTTGCATTCATCTATAATTAGCCCTCTTATTTGAGACGGTTTTAATTGTACGGCTCAAGTGTTAGCTCAAAATCTAGTTTGAATGAACCAGCTTAAGTTTCGGAAACGTTCTACTATACACACATAAGATTCTTGATTCTTGGTCGACGTACGAGTTAGCAGTTTATAACTTTGAAGTAAGCTCACCCATTGAGAGTGCAACAAGTAACACCGTTGCCATATCTTCCACATCTGCTGATAACGAGCAGCGATTTTCTGGAATTGGATCACCGGGTCATGAACGCGATTTGATAGCGAGAAGCGATCCTCAACAAAGAGACAACTTCCGTAATTTTTAGCGTATTTAGTATTAACTATGTTTTCTCCTTTTGGATTATATGCTATCACATTCAAGTAATTTGTTAACTTCTGGACCTATTATTTTTACGATCCCGGTTAAGTTATAACCGAATTAGTGACGCGAATGCTATTGGAGTCCGCCACTTCTTTCTGAAGCGGTTGGCCGATTAAGTACCGTAGCTGTGATATAAGCTACGAGTAAAGCGAGGGCCTTCAGGCATTGGTCAATTAATTGTGTACTCAGCTCTGCGGATTCGGAGTTTTTTTTTTGTTTATATGTTTTGGGATCCGAGAACAGAGCTCACTTCTTGGCGTCAACGTTTAATTTTATGCAAGGTAAGCGTTGCCTTCTATGTTTTACTTCTATTTTTACCCTGATTTTTTATTTATTTGTGGAAATTTAGTTTCGAGTTCATAAGAATGTTGTATGAATTATTGAATTTGGGAAAGAGAGGAGGTGGCTGTTTTTAGTTTGAAGTTCATATAATTTCGAAAGAGAATTGTGATAATCCACCCTTATGGTTAGGCAACACACCTTTACATCTGAAACAAAAATATGATATGCTCTGTATATAACCAATCGACCGTTTTGCGCAGATGCCGAATACTAGGGGATTTTGGTAACGAAGCTAGGGGAGAATGAAGAAGATGGCGATGAGGTCGACGGAAGGCATCACGCGTTCCCGGTTTTTATTCTTGATTATTTTGGTTGTGGTGTTTTGAAGGTGTATTTACAGGTAGTAACCATTTTATTCTTTCTTGTACTAGCTATTAATAATTGAATTTCTTGCCACAATTTGATATTATTTACATTTTGCTGATTTTGCATAAACTACGATATCTGAATCATGGCGTACTCCATGCCTTTGTTTTGAGTACCGTTAGATGAATCGTGTTTGTTATACTGTGCAGGTGATTATGCCATTGTTTTGTTTAATTAAGTATTTATTTCTGTATTCACGCAGAGTTGATTGTCAGTGCGATGTTGCTCTGTTCGATTGATCCGTAACTATTCCGTGAGGGAAGTACCTAATACAGTTTGATTGTTCGCTGTATCTGTTACTTTCTGATTCGTGGCGCGCTGCATTTCTTGTGCGTTACCTATACGAAGGGGGGCTCTCTTATTTAATGTTTCGATGTTTGTGTGTGCGAGTGGTGCATTCTGTCTCCGTGGAGTAGGTACCTAATACAGTTCGATCTGTTGCCTACTCGTCTCGTGCGGATTGCAGTTCTTAGCATCTTAGCAATGCGAGTAGGGGCCCTCTCATTAACATTTCCACTATTTAAAATATGTTCTGCTTGAGCGATAATCGATTTTCACATGAATACTTGCTATTGGCATTCTCACATGTTCTTTTCGTGTTAAATAAAATTATGTTAACTGAAGGCTGGCGTAGAGCCACACCATTTACATGTTTCCTATGTACATGCAATTTATTATTTTACGAATGGTGTTAGCTCAATTGATCGTACATGTATTTTGATATGTTTTTGTACTTAATTGACTTATTATGTTTTCAACTGCAGTTATGATGTCCTGTGTATTTTGTTTTTATGAACTTGTTTAATTGCATTTGATTTGATTATCTGATTTGTATCATACAATTTGAGATGTTTTATTTGTGAATTTTCTCTTGCATTTTATTGCCGTAGGTGATTTATTTCATGTATTTATGTGGCCTATGCCGGGGTTTTTGTCCCGTAGAAGGTTTCCCTGGCATGGTCTTGTTGTGTACGTAATATATTTATTTGTTCTTGTCATTTGTTACGCACAAAAGTTCTGTCTTTTATTTAATTCCCTTCCCGATTATGTCTCACGTCCCAACAGATAAAGAACCGATTACACAACGTAGGAGTTCATTCGTGCCATCCATATCGAGCAGACTGCCATCCAAATTCAAAAGTGCCGCGAAACGTCCATCGTTTCGACTTGAAAGGTAGGTGGCTCTGCTTGTAGTTTTTTTTGCCAGATTTGCCAACGGTAAGTATAGGGTAAGTTAACGTGTCAGCTTGATAGACCCCTAGGAACATTACAGAATACATGTCATTTTTTATAAAAAGTATCGTGTAATTTATTAATTACAGCAAAATAGAAAATCTAAAGGAGACTAAAATGCATAACAGAACAGATAACATATAAATAGTGTCTATATAAAGTTGGTTTTAGGTAAGATTTGTTTTAATTTCTAAACGCATCCACTTGTTTTAAGATTCAGTAATTAATGTTATCGATCATTCTTGATTAGTCGGGTTTTGATAAATTGGGGTATTTCAATTGTATTTAATTGTCATACGTTTATATCTGATTTGAATAAATTTGTTGATTTAGAAACAATTTCTACAGTACCGTGGCAGATGATTCGCGAGGAAGCTATGACTGAAACAATTGATGCAATGTAACTTTCCCTATGGCCCATTTTAAATAACTCAGCGCCTTTACATTGTCGTATTCTTATTCTTAAAAAAAACGCAGTGTATAATATTGTATTGCAGTGTACGAAACACATGTCTTATGTGTATTGTGTGTTGCCTACTTTCTCATTTAAATTTTCGATGCAACATGGCGGCTGGGCTCCTATTGTCGTCACTTTCGTATGTGAAACTCAGGGTAAACTGAAGTCGTGTAAACGCCACTTGAATGGGGTAAAAAGCGGCTTGTGTAGCAACGCAGTAGTATAAACGGAAGCTCTACATACTCTTCATTATCTTACGTCCACAAATAAGAATAGGTTTGATTTTTTGGCGATTCGTTAATTGAGGTTTGTTTTATCAATAACGGTTTGCACTTTACCTAAACATACAATTATTTTTTTCTAATTGTCACGGATCTTGGATTTTAAAAAACAAAAATGTGCTTGAAATTCTTTTCAGACCAAGCAGGCCGGGATGCCAAAACAACAACACCGAAATTCAAAAATGTTTGATCAATACACGTATAGTGAACTCAATCCGGGGACACATAATACGGTCTTTAAATAGATTGATTTATAACAATTAATAATTAAACAATAGTGCGGATTTAATTATCTATCACTACGACATCGATGTTAAAACTGAAACTAAACACAATTCAATTTGCTTATAACAAAAAGATTTATTGACAATTCTCGAACGTCACATCTCCTTTTATTACTTATGGCCTCTATCGACATTATGGCACCTCGAAAAAACGTTCTAGAAAGTTCGGAACAATAAATTTGCAAATCAATAATTCTTCTTATGACGTAGCACCCGAAAGAAGTGTAGTGGTCTATAGTGAATATGGCACTGGACTGAAAACTGAAAAGACTCGGATTTGTTTCCCTGTCCCGCCAGACCATCTGTAGCATTTTCTTGTTTAGTAATGCTAGCCACACAGCATCTCTGGAATTGGTTCCAGATACGGTCAGAGCAAAATTGACTATCCCTAGCAGTAGCACGCTTAATATAGCACACAAATGCTCAAACAAACGAGACTGGTGTCATTACTCATTTTATTGTATTAAATGAGCCTTATTATTATGTTGTTTCGATCCAGAAATTACCTACATCTTTTTCTCAAGCAGATGGACGTACGGTTTCAATCGCATACCCCGGATATTGCCGCCACAACCACGGACACACCAAATAGGGCAGATTTCCAGTGATTGCAAACTAGGGCAAATAAGCTATTAGGTATTGGGCGAAATTTACAACACAAATGGGCGGATGGAAATGTGGTAGGAAATCTAAACAACAGACCGACTCATAAATGGCAATGAAAAGCACCATGCATAAAAACATTGAATAACGAAATAATTTTTCACTCAATGATAAAAATTAGTATAATGAAATGCAGGGCGTTTAATTAGGCGGCCACTTCAGATGTTCCTAATTAATAAACAGGTAAAAAAGAATTTCCCAATAGCTTGCTTCGAGATACTGCCAGAGAGCATTTCGAGTAATGGGGGCATCCCGGCTTAATTTTTTATTTCTGATCTACAATGTACAATAAAAATAAAAAGACCCGTGTGTCCTCAATTTTTATTTGCGAGTAAAATAAACCCAAAATAAATTATTGGAAAGCTGTGTTTTTAGACCGAATTTGAAACGCTTCAGTCTAAATACGTCACGAACCTACAACCAATCACGTAAAAGTGAGCCGGCAACCTTGTGCGAGGGTCTGACGTTTGTCGGATATATTTGACGTTTTAAGAGGCATGTTTAACTGCATCACAGCCGTCTATAATTATAATTATAGACGGTTGTTGGATCTAACGCGAAAGTGAACGACAAGTGCCTGTGACAGGTGACACAAGTTACAAATGACAATCTCCTGCAACATTGCCAAGTCGTTATGTCATCTGAATGGTTCTAGGAGCTGATTGGTCGGGCTTATTACGTTACAGAGCCCGTCACAATCATATCGTTTTGAATAAACCCTTAAACCCGCACATGTTTATTATTTTTTTGCTAATCAACCTTTATTTTTAAATAAACTTTTACTGTCCAAAAATATGTTTTATGGTTTCAGGTACCTACACGATTATTAAATTAGAACTGTGGAATTTAACTATACTGTAAACCGCCATTCAAGATCGCGCCCGAAATATTGAACATGTTATTCTGATGCGAAATTAAGTTGTCGTATATTATTATTTATGTTTTTTGGGGAGGACTACAAATAAAAAGTCCAATTTTACCTACAGTTGACGTGAAAAATGTTATTGCCAGACTGAAGCTGCAATAAACTTATGTTGCAGATTGTGAGTTAAAATAATTAAGATGTTGATGCGGATACACGGTATCTACCACGGGAAATACCACAAATTATTTACGAGTACCTGACCGTACTATATCTTCCGATCATTTCAAAGACGATGATATATTGCTTTGAATGAATTCACACAAGAAATATCTAAAATCACTTCTGAAACATGAAGTAGCTTTGAACTACACAGTTTATATTTGAGTTTCGACGGACGGGAGTACTATTTCAAGAGAAGAAGAAGAAGGAACTTGTTTTGTCATAATCGGGAATTGCGAGTCCTATTTTATTGCGAAAACATTGCACATCGACATTAATAAGTAGGTACCTACCGAAAATGACGAAATATATATCGAAACACGTAGGACCATTGGCATCCATGATAAGAAAGAAGATTCAAAAGCCTGCAGCCGAATCTAAGTACCATGTTCAAATGAACATTCAACAAAAAACATATAAAATGATGTGCCACATGACAATATCGCGTCAAAATAAAATGTTTGGGAACCACCTTGGACGCCATCTTAAATTATTCAAAATGCTCAAGCCGGCAGAGTGGCATCAATCGAATAAAAAATCTACATGGCATAAGCATTCAAAGACAGTGCGAACATTTTATTCATACCTACCTCAAAACAATGTTAGGGTAAATGACCATATTTTTGACACCGTCCTAATATTTGACACATTTAGGCTTTATTCTAAAATAATAAGTATTCTGAACCATTACCTCCAAAAAACTAAAGTCCCTAGATTACTAAAGTCACGCGAATGGCAGCCATTTTGGCTCAGTTCGGGAGCCGCGAAATTTGAATTTGAACAACAGTTGGAAAGTAGGTATATTTAAAGGCACATCCACACTATAACGAATGGTGTTGTTCACCTCTTATTCTATTCGATTTTTCCGTTTGTTTCATTCTATTAATTATGACGCCCACACAGCTTTCTTGTGTGGACGAGTTGAAAGTTGTCAATCAATAAATCAATCAACACACGTTTATTATTTATAGTGGAGATGGATAACGGTTCCTAGTCAAAGAAAAGAACGAATCGAAAAAAATGAATGAAATAGAAAACGAAGAGGTAAAAAATAAGAAACCTTTGTCGGAGATACCATCAGAAAATCAAATAAAAACATAAAACCTAATGACTATGTTATTGTCAACTACGAAGAAAAGATGTTTCCAGGAATCGTAAAAGACATCAATAAAGAAGAACAAAAATATTTTGTAAAGGTTATGACTTCGAGTGGCACAGATAAATGGAAATGACCCACTCACGCTGACGAATTATGGTATGAATCTATGGATGTTTTAGAAAAAATAACAGAACTCCAATTAGCAAACATCCGGGGCGTTTTCAAAGTGCCTGAAATTGAAAAATATGAATAATTATTCATTATTTTTTAGTTTTAGTTTACACAAATTGGACGAACAATATTAAAATAAAAAAATATTAAAATTAGGTTACCTACTTTCCTTTTACACCCGAGATCTCCTGTTGTCAAATTTTGGTACCATTGTTTGTCAGAATTATGTACACTGTCAAAATAAGGTACAAATCTATGTAAAATATTGGCACATATTGAGCTATATCTTGGTGTCAGATAAACGTACACGGGTATCCAGATTGATTTTATTAATTTTTTATTGCAAAATATATAAAACTTAAATCAATATGTTAGTTCTATTGAACATGAACCTTGTTGAAATCGTGTCAAGGTGTACCAAAGTCAATTTTAATCCCGTTTATTAACGCAACCTGGTTATATAGCTTTGGTTTGACCCTTTAGCGCCTTAAGATGTCAAATATAATATAATACCTTATTATTAGAAATTTGACTACAAATATACAACGGAAAAGTTCAATTTTTGATACGTAAACCGATTTAGCTGTTTGTTTCCCACTTCGATAATCTTATCAAAGCGCGCAGGATAACTAACGAATAAAGTGTTTCCGTTAGGTATAATTTTTGCATCTCAGCCTAAAGAATTCTTATTAAATGGCAGACATCGAAATTGATGAAGAATGGTGTACAGAAACTATTGCCGGTTTACTATTATTGATAACCATGATGTTTTTAAACGCCATTCAACTCAAGGTAAAACTCCTAGCTGATGTTAATTAAATGTTAAGCACGTTGAACTTGCAGGAGGAGACAGGGAGTCTGGGGACAACAATAAAATTTTGTTTCCTGTTTCCTGTAATAATTTGCATGGTGGCGGTAATGCTGATTCTACAACCAGTGTTCTTTGTATATCGCATGGTAATCTCGATTAAACTGCGAAACAGGTATGGAAATAACTTTTATGGCTTGTTGTCCGGACTCGACGTTTGCGTTAACCACCCAGTTAAGCAATACGCAATGATTGGCATTTTGGTCATTTTTGAATTCGATGATAATGCCGAAGGACAAACTGTATTGGAATGCCTTAAAGATCTTGTAGATAAAAACATTCTAAAAGATGATCAGCTATCCAGAATGCGTACCACAATTAAATCATATGGAGGATACCCCTTCCTCGAGTATATTGATATGAAGACCGAGGACTGTGTTAAGGAATTGCCAATCGTTGACGGTGATTTGGATGACGCCGCGTTAACAAGGTTGCTCGGTCGGTGCCAGTACGAGCCATTTGATGGCCCTTTTTTGTGGGACGTTAAGGTTGGAACTCAACCTCTTCAAACGGAGAACGACCGTAAGCGGTATCCCGTAATGATCCGCGTCCATCACGCATTGACGGACGGTGTCACTTTAATACAGCTACTCGCGGGAGTGCTCGGTGACAAGCCGAATGGAACAGTGGGAAAACACGAGAAACTTCAACAGCAATCCCAGGATTATCTTATATTGCGATTGTTTCAATTCTTGGGCAAGATCGCCTGCGTGATCGTGTATTTCCCCAGCATTCTGTATTCACTCGCACTAATAAAGAAAGATGTGAATGATCTGCACCAAAAGAAAATGGGGAACGATGAGAAGGTTGCTTTACTCTTCGACAAGGGCGGCTCGTACTTCCAGAAAGTGAAAAACATAAGAAGGTTAACAGGGGCTTCAATTCCCGAAATCATATGCACGGCATACAGCGAAAGTTTAAAGGCTCACTTCGAGAGGGTTTGTTTCCCAACTCCTGATGTGCGTAAAATTGATCATTCTCTTTGCAGTACCAGAAAAAAAGCTCAAGACAGACAACGTTCCTACTGCCGGTCGTTCACAATCCGGAAGAAATCCAAAACATGCGAGCAATGAATATTAAAGATCTAAATTTGAAAAACAAATTCTCCGCGATGACCCTTGCAATACCGTTCTCTGTAGAAAAAAACGGTTACGATGGCAATGTTCCACTCTACTGTAAACTACAGGAAGTAAGGAGAAGAGTGAACATGTTAAAGCGATCAATGGAATTTTACGTACGTTCTCAACTCGTGTCAATGAAATTCGAAAATTGATTTCTTACAGGTGTCCAACGTTTTATTCCATATAATAGCGCCCTCGTTCCCGGGAGTTTGCCTCTTGCCCTTCGCCTACTTCCTAAATAATACTTCAATAGTTAGTCTGATTCCGGGAGTTCCAAAGGGATCTTACTACAACGGCAAGTTGGTGATGACCGATTGTATCTTCTGGGTACCGCATCTAATGCAGATAGGTAGCACTCAAATCAAATTACAATATTGATAGCACGAGAACATTTTTCAGATCTCGCCTTTGGGTCGTTTTCGTACGATAATCGTTTGATTCTTTCGTTCAACTGTGACGGTTTGTATATGTCTCAGGAAATGGCGCAGGAGATCCTAGAGGACGTTTACAAGAATATTGATTTACTTGGTAAAGAGCTGGAATACTTACATAAACGGTTTTAAACATAGTACGATATAATTATGTTGTTGTAGTAGTACTTACAATGTATGCCCCAGAGAATAAAATAATGGTTCTGCAGATTTGGCTAAAAATCATTTGGAGTTATGACGTCTTCAATAATTTGAAATTCGTATTGTATTGTAATTTTGCGAACGTCATCTTCTAGAACTGTAAAAGTTGCATTTTTCGGAAGCGAATACTCCGATGGCTGGTTTTCTTGGAGCTTGGAGGCGAAATTTTCTACAATATTCGTTTGAGATTGATAACCACAAGATCCATAGATTAAGTCGTGTGTTTCCATTTAAAATTTCTTCATTGTAATACAAATTATCAATACTGAGTAGATGTAGCAGCAATTGCGATAGGGAGGGGAGACACACCAAATCTGAGGAGTGTTCTTTCTACTCAAAATTACAAGTAACGGAAGCCAGCTACCACATTTTATTTAATTTGAACTCTTTTTTGTAACTATCCGTTGCAAATAGGGGCTCATCAGTGAGCCACGATTTAGCGGAAAGAACCCCGAGATTATGGTTATTTTTAAATTTTTGCTTTTTGCTTTTCGCTTTTCGCCTTTTGCTTGTCGCTTTTCGCTTTTAATTTCGCTTTCGCTCTTCGCTCTATTTAGCGGAATGACCTTTTTTTTGCTTTTCGCCCTTTGCTTTTCGCTTTTCGTTTTCCGCTTTTTGCTTTGAACCTAGGATTGCTATTTTCAACTTGGGATGTCAATGTTGGTTGGATTGGAAATATGGAACTTTTCTTCAACAGTTAGAAACGAATCAAAAGGCCTTACAAAGGATAGCAACCGACGCGCATTAGAGAAGAGGATGGAACCAAAAACAAGAGACGATTAAAAGAAAACAACAAGAAATTAGTTGAGACATTAAAGAAATGTTTGACAACGTGCGAATATTTAGAGGAAGAAGTGAGAATAAACCAAATTCAAATAGAAAAGAAAATCCATGCGCTAGCTAGGACAAGTTGAAAGAAAAAACTGAAGCTGAGCTGAAGGGATTCAAGCAGTTGAGAGGTTCCACCCTGTAAAATTCGCGCACACGGACAATGGGATGGTGTTATACGACAAAAACTGAACAAAAAGTTCCTCTACCAGTTTTCCATCAGACCGCGATTTTTCGAGCTACCCCCCTACGCTGCGCCACTGGTTAAACTTAATAACACATTTTTAAAAACAAAAGAATGTTCAAAATAAACAATAATTATGACGAGTACGTAATTAATAATTACAACAGTTGTTCAAAATATCCACCGTCTGCTAGTAAACAAGCTTCAGCAAGTCGAAAAAAAAGTGCCGGTCTGATCAAAAACTGGTAGAGGAACTTTTTATTCAGTTTTCGTTGTATAACACCATCCCACAGTCCGTGTGCGCGAATTTCGAAACACCCTGTACATTGTACAACTTACCTTACAACGATACATACATTTTTGAGAGTTGGCAACCATGCTATTTCTAGGTGGGAAAAAGCTGCCTGCGCCATTTAAAAAGCACACGTTAGGCATCTTGTCTTAAATGGCGATCCTGTACGTGTCGCTCCATAAATGTTTGTTGTTATTTTGTGTTATTTAATGCAGGTAGTAATTTTTGCATTTCTTTATATCGTATTTGTGTTTTGTATGCCGCATTCTATATTTTTTGTGTGTTTCAATCTTTCAATCATGGTTAATACCGTTATCCTTTTGTTTGGAATTGTTTACGCTTTTGGTGTAATGTTTGCTTAATTTATATTTATGTGTTGATTACTTGGTCTTGTCCGAGAAGTTATAGTCATATAAATTTTGATCATTTTATTTTAATATGTGGAAATTACCGATTCGTTTGATGTATGTACTGACTTGTTGTTTGTAACTAACAATTTTCTCCGTGAACGAATCAGCCCCGGGGGTGGTAAAAACTGTAGTCAAATTTGAGCTACGACACCCAATCCCGGATTGTCTTCGACATTCAACTGTAGGCTCAAAACCCCGAAACCAGAGGCGGGTTACCTATCTTGCAGGAGCGGGATTACGATAATCAAAGCTCTTCAGTTTGGAATCTCTGGGCGATAAATGAGTTACGATTCGTAATTTCCACATATTTTGTTTTAGTTAAATTTGCCTACAAGGCCATGTCATTTTCCATCTTGTTTTTAACAAAAGGTCTTTATTGCACCAAAGATGAGTCACATCTTGTGCATTTCACCCTTCCTTAGAATCTTGGTACCTGCTTACTTGACGCATAATTCCCAAAACTTGTTTTTAACCTATGTGTTACTTCTTGAAGTCTACATGCTGCTTTTTGTTGTTGTTACAATTTTATGTTACGCATTCACCTCATTACAAACAATTAATTTTACTACACAATTTAATATTAATTTGACGGCTGGTTTTTTTATTGGTAAGTTCTTTTTTTCTCCCAGCTTATTTCTATTTTTATTCGGTGAACTACCGTTTTTAAAGTTTATTTTTGCAATGTAATTTATTTCGACTAAAATTTCCGAGCTTTTACAATCAATAATAATTGCGATAATTATTAAACAAACTTTTCACAATTTCATTGTTTCATTTTACGTTCCTTCCCTACTGTGTTTCAGGTCATAACGTTGTTTACGGCTAACGTAAGGGGGTCCTGCCTTAGATGTTTGATCACGTGCCACATTTTAAATTTAAGCGGGATTTTGTTTAATTTTGGAGAGAATCTTCATCGGGTGACCATTTTTAAACGTTGCCGGGTTGATTTTATTTCCGTGTTCTTGTAGTGTGAAGTTAGCGTAGAACCTGGGGGTTAAGTACACTACACAGTTATGAACAGAATTGCAACAAAAACACAAGAAAACATACGACCAGTGGGAAGAAAAACTGGAAACTGACACCACCAGAATTGGAACTAGAGTGGAAAACCAAGGTAGCTTGATACTAAAGAAGTATAGCATTTTCAGAGGACTATAGCGCTTTCGCACCTCCAAATGCAGTATGGTGCTTATAGACATATATAGTACATGCTTGCCAAACGTGACAATGACAGCACAAGGAGATTATGTTCGGTTAGAAACAAGGATAGTATTATCGAAGAATGACGCAAACTAGTAAGAGAGGCATTTAGTCCATAAGACCCCATACTGCATATGGAGGTGCGAACGCGCTATAGTTAAGAATGTGGTCGGAGAAATCGAAGGGCACGATATACCGTTATTGGCGAATCGAGGACTAAGTGGGAGGAGTTTAGACAAGTAAGAGAGATAGAGGTGAATGCAAAGCGAAACTGAACAAGAATAAATGTAAAATTTGGCAGATGTTTAAAGAAGATCTTATAAAACAGTATTGGTCCAAAGAGGTCCAATGAAAATTTGGACTCCGACTCGCCACCCCACGCCTTTCCCAGGCCAAATTTGAAATGTGCAGTGACCACATCTGGTATTAAGTCAACCAAACGAATTATCTGCAGCTTAATTAGTCGTTTCCCAGGATAGAAGAAAATATACTGGTTGGATTGGGGGTCAGCACCTCCAAAAAACCAGTTCCAAAAAATCTCCTCTAAAAAAACTTCCTCCAAAAAACCGCCTCCAACAAACTCATGCTAAAACCTGTTCCAAAAAACCTCTAAAAAACCTCCCAAAAAATTTCTTCAAGAAACTTTTTTTTTTGAAGTTTTTGGAAGAGGTTTTTAGGGAAGTTTTTTTGAGGGAGGTTTTTTTGGAGGAGGTCTTACCATCCTTAGAATCCTTTGAATCCTAATCCTTGGAATGCTCGGAATTCTCGGAATCCTCCGAATCGTCAGAGTCCTCAGAGACCTTATAGAATCATCAGAACCCCCTTAATCCTTATTAGGAACCTTAGAATCCTTGGGTTCCTCGGAACCCTTAGAATCCTTGGATACTAAGGATTTTAATGATACTAAAGATTCCAAGGATCCCAAGAATTCTAAGAATTCTCAGGTTTCTAATAAGGCTTCTAAGGATACTAAGGATTCTAAGAAACCATCTTCCAAAAAACCACTTTCAAAAAACCACCTCCAAATAACCACTTTCAAAAAAACCTCCTCCAAAAAAACTCCTAAAAACTTCCGAAAAAACTGCCTTTAAAAAACTCCTCTCAAAATCTGCACAAACGTTCAAAACACATACAAAAAACCTACAACAATCCTCCAAAAAACCTTTTCCAAAAACTTCTCCAAAAAACATTTTTTTTAGGTTTTTAGTAGGGTTTTTTGGAGGTCTTTTGGAAAAGTTTTTTGGAGGTTTTTTTGGGGGAAGATTCTTTAGAGAAGGTCTTAGAATCCTTACAATCCGTAGAATGCTTAGAATTTAGGATGCCAATAAACCAGTTGCAATAATTCATTCTTTCCGCTAGACTTCTAAGGGCCGGTTGCACAAACGCAGTTTAAACCTCGTTTAGATTAACGCAATGGATTAAGACATATGATTAGTGGAAAATCGACAAAACGTCAAATTTCAACCAATCCTAGACCTTAATCCACTGGTTAATTCCAAGCGAGGTTTAAACTGCCTTTGTGCAACCGGCCCTAAGAGTCAGTGCATTGTATATATATATGAACAGTACCTAATTATTGTAGTCACTTGAGTAGTCGAAATTATTTAATAACTAACAATTTAATCAATATTTGCAATGGAAGTCTTTTGATGGCCCCTAATTAAGTGTAGGAATAATCATTTTATCTTTATTGCACTTTAGGCTATGTGTATAGTGCCTATATCGAATAAGCGTTTACCTATGTAGGTTTGCAACCTTTAGGGATGCTTTAAAATACCTTGAAATTTGGGAAGATCGCCGGAAATCGTTCCTAGGAGATCTCTTGAAATCTCCCTACTCGTACAGCGAAATCCCACGTCGGTTTCCCCCTCACATCGTGCAAAACACAATTTTTCCCCCAAAATGGAAAGCTGTTAATCGCCGAATCATTAGAATAAAAGGCTCCCTATTTCAAAGTGGTCATGAGAGTCAGTCACTCTATTAACCTGCATTTACGAGAATTAATACGCTGAACAACAGCAAACATATCGCCACGACCAGGAAATGTAGTTGGCCAATCGCACCTAATTTAACCACTTCTCATATTTTTTCCGATAAGTTAATCTATTACATGGAATTTATTCTTGTGTAGCTCTGGTCCAAGTTTTGTCAAAATAGGGAAACAACATGGAGGAAGAATGGTGCGATTGTGTAGTGGCGCTTCTGATTGTTTTACTGACAATGCTTATTCTAAACGTTGTGCAGATTAAGGTAAAGATAAAATACAGTACCTACGTGCGGGCAATTATTTAACGTATTTCAGGCGGAAACGGGGAGTGTTTGGAGAGCAATTCAATTTGCAATTCTCTTTCCTGCCATAATGGTCATTGTGACGACAATGCTGCTAATGTATCCGTTTTTGATCATCTATCGCGCGTTTCTCTCTATAAAACTACGGGTGATGTTTGGGAAAAAATTCTACGGGCTACTTCACGGCCTTGACGCGCCGCTCTCGCATCCGATAAAAAAGTATGGCATGATTGGCGGTTTGATAATCGTTGAAATCGATACTAGCGTCACCCAAAAGAGTGCGTGGGACTGCGTGCGAGAGTTTGTTGATGAGAAGGTTCTGACAAATGAGCATTTAGCCAAATTGCGTACGTCAGTGAGTTGGTATGGGGGGTATCCTTTTTTGGAAAACATTGATGTCAAGAGCAATGCTTTCGTTCGTAAATTACCAACGGTTGAGGGAATATTGGACGATGCAACCCTAATGAAATTGCTAGGACAATGCCATTATATGCCATTCAGTGGGCCATTGATGTGGGATGTGATGGTAGGCACGCAACCTCTGTTAAGAAAGCAGAGTTCCAACCCTTATCTAAAACAGTACCCCATCATGATTCGTGTTCATCATGGATTGGCAGACGCTGTCACGATAATGCAACTTGTGGCTGGTGTGTTTGGAGACAAATTTCGGGCAAGCCCAGTGAAACGAGTTGGGAAACTTCCGGAGGCAGAAGACTATATCATTGCGCGCCTATTTCAACTCCTCGGGCAGATTGCGTGCGTAATGGTGTACTTTCCGAGTGTTTTGTACCTGTGTACGTTGGTAAAGACGGATTTTAATGAGCTGCACCTTAGAGGAATGGGAGACGACGAAAACATAGCGGTGGAATTTGATGATAACGGAACGTACCTGCAGAAAGTGAAAAAGATCAGGAACTATACAGGAGCAACGGTTCCCGAAATCATATCCACCGCCTACAACGAAAGCTTGAAGGAGCATTTTTTAAAGGTTGAGTCCTTATACATTTCTATACACGCTGATTCTCTTTTCAATCTTACAGTATAAGAAAAGAAGGGAAGATCACTTTACGTTTCTCTTTCCAGTCGGCCATAACTACGAAGAGATGGAAAATGTGCAATCCATTGACGCTAAGGACTTGAAATTAAGCAACAGATTTGCAATATTGACACTTGCAATGCCATTTTCTATTGAGAGTGATACAGATTTCGACCCGAGAACGCCGCTTTACAGTAGATTATCGATTATGAGACGGAAAACAAATGCGCTGAAGAAGTCAGTAGAATTCCACGTAAGTTGATGCCTTGACTTGCCAGTCACCCATTTTGACCTGGGTTAAACGGGGTCACAAGGAAAGTTTCTAAGTTAAATATTTCAGGTATCAATGATTATTTATCACCTCATCGCTCCAGTTTTTCCCTCCGTCTGTTTATACTTTTTCTCGTACCTTACCAACATTACATCAATCATCAGTCTAATACCTGGACTTCCGAGAGGATCTTATTGTAACGGAGCGCTTCTGGTCACCGATTCCGCATTCTGGATACCCCATCTGCTCAGCATTGGTTGGTATGGTGTTAATTGAATTTTCTATTGACCGTTCATTTTAGATATTTCTCTAGGTTCGTTTGTGTACGATGATCGATTGATTGTATCACTTAATTGCGATGGTTCGTGCATGTCGCGCGAAATGGCACAAGAAATCGTCCAAAATGTTTACAAGAACATCGACTTACTGGAAGAGGAGTTGGGCTCGATTACTCCTTAATTAAAATTTAGGTTAGGTTTATTGTTTGGCACTACTTTAGAGGGAACTTTCTAAGCTGCAACACTTCGAAAGCGATTAGGCAATGACATTAGGGCAGGGGTCGGCAGCAAGTGGCTGTTTTGATATAACGTTGCGGCTCTCCGCATTTATCTAAAAAAATTAGTTCATTTTTTCGACATTCACCTTTTTAATTAATCTTATCTTATTACGAAATTGAAAGTAGGTACATTTACAGCAAATAATTACCTAATTTGTGACACTTGTTTACTTTCTGGTATTCTTTTGTTTTTTATTATCACAACCTACCAATTAACTTTTGTGAAAAATATTGAATAACCTAAAGACTATGGGGTTAAATCCCTTAAAGCACAGGACACCCCTTATAAAACTTGAAGGGAACACAAAAGACAATCGAATAGCGAAAAAAAATAGTGGTAGTTCCACTTGAAAAAAAGCAGTTATTTATTGACACCGTAAAAATGGGACACCCTGTATATTCAAAAATAATTTTTGTAGATCCACAACGGTATAGTATACGTATAGTTGACATTTGCACAAATGATTTTAAAAATATTTTTTAAACAGGTATGAGCTAGGAAAGACAGACGGCACTATTGCAGAACCCTGTACATAACCAAACACTATACTATTGAATTGAAAATTTTGAGTGAGTGGCTTTTTAAAAACTGGGAAATTGGCTCTTCCGTTCCAATAGGTTGCCGACTTCTGCACTAAGGTGTTACAAACCTGACTTATGCGATTGGAATCCAAACCATTATCTCTTAGATTTTCCTAGTTCCTTCAACAACGATAGATTTTACAGTAAATTGATTAAGTTTAGCTTAATTTGTAACGTTGCCTTAGCCAAGGTTATTCGCGAGGACCGTTAGTTAGCGATACCTACTACAAAATTTATAATAGATAATGAATAATAATAAAGATCTTTATTCTTGGAACTGTGCATCACAGCCATTGAAACGTCATACAAAGAGAGAAAGAATAACAAACTTTACGTACTTTTACTTTTACTATGAACTCTGTGAATTCCTTCACAGAATAAACCGATACAACGAAATATCGAAGGACCCTCAGTATTACAATCACTTTTAAGGACAATTTATTTTAATCTAACAAAATACATTTTATAGTTAACAAAAATGCATCAAATTCATGTCTTGGTCATTGAGATTATCTCTTGGTCTTTTTCCCAACGATCTTGGTGTATAAATAACGGTTTTGACATGTTTTGATCAAAATCCATGTGGTCGCCAAAAATAGATCAAATTCATGTCTTGGTCATTGAAATAATGCTCTTGGTCTTTTTCCCAACCATCTTGGTGCATAAATAACGATTATGACATATTTTGATCAAAATCCATGTGGCCTCAGAAAAACACAAGCGGTTTTTAAATGTTTGTTGGTTGCAGGTGGTGAATAGGGTGATTTATTATAAAAAGAGTGGTGGTGCTTCTTTGTGAAAATTTTGTCCTTACCCCTCGTATTGTAGGTGTGGATATCTCCCACTTTCCCAAAAGTGTTTATATTTTTGTGTATATAACAGAGCAATTTGAGTATACAGGGTGTTTTTTTGGGAGCTTTAGTTAAACGTTTCTGGGAAAGTAAAATAGGTAGGTTTTTGAAAAGTTGAACTTAGGAGTTACTCTGAAGGCCGAATCGATGTAAAATATTTTCAAAATGGCCGCACTTCCGGAAACACCGGAAGTAGATAGTAACTTCGTTATTTTAAATGGCAACCCCTATTTTTGCATTTTTGGATTCTACGTGAAATTTCAGTTCTTTTGATACCCATATGTCATATCTGCCATTTATGGTTTTTAAGTTATTTTGACTTTAAGAAAAAAAAATGGCGGATGCAGATGGTACCTTGATAATTGATTACTTGAAAAAGGGTATAGTCATGGCAACCCATTTTTATCAGTGCATAGAGAATGAATAGGGCTTTCTTTTAGTGTACTTAAAAAAAAGTTAAGTTGCGTACAACCGCACCTATGGAGATCCAAATTTAAGAAACTTTAAAGTCTATAAACTCAATTTTTTTAAATGGAATGACCCTGTTCTTATTATTGCATGAGATAGAAAATCGAAATTGGCATATTTTGATATTACATATTCCTATAGCTATCTTTAACAGTTTCTGATTTATTCCCATTTCATTGAATTGATCTAGGAATTGATGCGATTTTTTTCGCATTTTCTTTTTAGTAGTTGGCCATGATTTTAGAACAATCGAATTTTAAACAAATCAAGGAATGGATTCGTTAATATCATTTATTGTAGCCTAATTAATTCATTAATAAATAAGTTTTTTGTTAAGGATATAGGATGGAAAATTTTTGAAAAATCTAGACAGTCGTTCAACTGAATTTCTTAAACAACGTATAAGTCTGGAAATTAAGAGAGGTAATGCGATATCTGTTCTAGCAACAATTCCATACCAAAAATGTTTCAACAAAGTTTTTTATATTTTGCATTGAATTTATTTTGTTAATCTTGCATTTGCAATTCAATTCATTCTCTTAAATATTCTGTTGTAGAGCTTTGTATCACTTGTGCTTCAACGGTTTGTAGTGCATTTGGGGGTACAACATTTCCAAAATTGATACAATTTCGTTCCAGTGTTCGAATGAATGTACGGCAACCACGTGTCGCGATTCTGTCCATTTTACCATAAATAACAATTTATTAAATTCCAAAATAGATGAAACCACTCCGAGTCATCTTTCGATTTTTGAAAAACCTATGTTCACCTATAACAGTAGGTGACGGATTAGTGTCACTAGATTTGTTTAAAATTCGATTGTTTTAAAATCATGGCCGACTACTAAAAAGAAAATTCGAAAAAAATAGTGTCAATTCAATAAAATGGGAATAAGTCAGAAACTGTTAAAGATAGCTATAGGAACATGTAATATCAAAATATGCCAATTTCGATTCTCTATCTCATGCAATAATAAGAACAGGGTCGTTCCATTTAAAAAAACTGAGTTTATAGACTTTAAAGTTTCTTAAATTTGGATCTCCATAGGTGCGGTTGTACGCAACTTAACTTTTTTTTAAGTACACTAAAAGAAAGCCCTATTCATGCTCTAGGCACTGATAAAAATGGGTTGCCATGACTACAACCGTTTTCAAATAATCAATTATCAAGGTACCGTCTGCATCCGCCATTTTTTTTCTTAAAGTCAAAATAACTTAAAAACCATAAATGGCAGATATCGACATATGGGTATCAAAAGAATTGAAATTTCACGTAGAATCCAAAAATGCAATAAAAAAATAGGGGTTGCCCTTTAAAACAACGGAATTACTACCTACTTCCGGTGTTTCCGGAAGTGTGGCCATTTTGAAAATATTTTACATCGATTCGGCCTTCAGAGTAACTCCTAAGTTCAACTTTTCAAAAACCTACCTATTTTACTTTCCCAGAAACGTTTAACTAAAGCTCCCAAAAAAACACCCTGTATTGAGTATATACCGGCGACATCATACATGTTAAGTTGTAGTATCATGTACTGGGGCGAGGTAAAATTTTAAAAGTTTTAAATGACCCTCTGCATGATTGGAGAGAACTTAGATTAAATATTAAACGAATTATTCCTTTAACTCGTTTGCGTCCTTAGTCGCAAGTTTGGGATCAAGTTAAATTTACCCTTCACTATAACCCTATAAAACTATACAGGGTGTCTATTTTTCGAGTGCCACATGGGGTCTCGCTTATCTTAAGAGAAAGAAAGGTGGTTAAATCAGGGCAAAGTTGCGAATTTTGGTGCTAAATAATAATCTGAAAATAATTTTGAAAAAACGAAAATTTCTGATTTTAGATTTTAATTTTGTGATGATAAACTAGCGTACTAGACATTTCGAACCCAAACATTTTTTATGGAAAATTTAACAGTTTTCAAGATGACGGAGAGACGTGGCAACTTTATTTTTTCTTATTGTCGTCATTTAGGATTTTGACATTTTGAGATTACGTCTTTTCTTCTTAAAAATACAATTTTTTATTTTTTGCGAAGCGTGCTTTGGAAAAACAAAAGGTTTTTTGTTGTAAACAAAAATTTGACAGTTTGATCAATATGTTTGGTCGCGGCATTGGCACGGAATTAGTTGTGTTTACTGAACTGAACAGAATTAAACCTTCATCTTGCATGAAAATTGTATTCAAATTAGAACAAAATACATAAGAATAAATAATATTTAATTTAATCATTACATTATCTTGGCATTTTAATTGCTACAATTCTTTTTTTTCGCAATTAATCAATTAATTAATCATAATTAATAATAATTATTAATTGTAATTAATAATAATTATTAATTAATTAATAATTAATTCCGTCGCGAATAACTCGAAAAGATTTTACAAAAAAAGTGTATATGTAGAACACTTTTTGCTTAAAATTAATTTTTCTGTCAATTTCTGTGACCAAATTATAATACAAAATGTCCATCCCCGAGTTGGACTTCCAACCGCCCCCAACGTGAAAGCGCCTTTTTGCATATAGATTTTGACCCTTAGGCTATTCCCGACTGTAACGGCTTAGTTACGTTTACAGGGGTTAGAAACCCATCTTGCAGAAAATAAATGTTATTGTCTACGGCACTGGTATGAATTTTACTTTAACAATTAATTTTTTGTAAGGAAACATTTTCATTGATTCTTCCCTTGCGGAAAGTTAGTTGTTTATCTCCACTTGTGATCTGAAAATTAAAATCTAATGCTCTGGTATGATTGATTTGTTTGAATATATTGGTGAAAATAATCTCGTTCCAACTTCAGTTTTTTTTTCAATTTGTTTATGTATACAAATTAAAAATTTCAAGCCCTGTCTCGTGAACACGTTCAAATTTAATAACCTATCTAGATTTCTTTTACTATTTGTAATTACTCTAACACTCGGTACATTTTCCTATTCAAAAACAAATTTACACGCCTCTGGATGGTACATAAAATTTAACCCACACAAAAGAACGGTATTAATGGACTTAAAATTCTAAAAAGTTTACCAATATCTTTGATTTGGGTTCCCCTATCATTCTTCAAAAATACACAAATTGGGAATGACTTTAAGTGCAAGTTTATTTTACAAAAACCCTAAAAAATCGAGTCCTATGGATACATAATGCAAAAAATTTAAATAACTTACATTTATAGGTGCGCTAAAATATTTTCTCATTGACAGCTGATTTTCTCTTTTGGAAGAGTAGCAACAATTTAGAAAATTGAATGGTGGAACGCTTTGTACAATACAATCGGTCCTGTTGTATCGCCAGGTAAAAAATATTTGGTTACTCGTTGAAAGTGAATGGTTGACGAATTTGAATCTGGAACAAACCGTGCTTCAGGTTCCTCGCAATTTAATTTAGTTACTGGAAAAATTCCCAATGTTCCGCAGTATCGAAATGTCCATATTACTCTTGTAACTTACAGTTTTAACAGCCAACAAAAGCACGAATTAATTGTCTTTAAACCATTTAGCGGTTGCCATTGAATGTAAATTTAATAACGCCTTGTATACCTTAAACAGGTGTACATCAGTTGGGTTGACAAACTTGTTTTTTGACGTAACTAGCCAGCTTGGACCTCAACACTGTGGTGGTAACAATTTATTTCTATGCGAATACGCTACTCGCCGCTAATACTACGAAACGAATTTGTTCGTGTACGCTTTGAAAACGGCAAACACTTCGCACAATTCACGGTTGAAAATTATATCACTCGGCCGGTCCACTTTACAAACGAGCAATCTGAACAGACAATTGGATTGGTGTTGTAATTTTGTGTGCGAGCGCACCATCTTGGTAAAAATATAAGATATGTGTTTCATTTAAAAGAAAAATCTGCTCTTTACAAACTTTTTCACCTTGTCTGAAACCCCGCCCACTCAAAAATAAAGGCAAATAAATAAATAAAATAAATATAGAAAAATGTCAGTACCTATTTTGTTTCTAATTTTGGAGGCTTCAATTGCTCTGGAATGAACATGTTGGTGAAGACATTTTGTGTTCTTGTTCTGCTAAAATGACGCTTTCGAAACAAGCACTAATTTAAAATAAAAATAACTACACTATGGATACCTTTAATTATATGCACGCTGGGCCGCGCCTGGTGTATCCTTATCACAGCCCATGTACTTATAGGAGCCAGCAATCGGAGGATTGCAGCTTCGAAAGTTCCCCGTTTAGTACATATGACATATTTACTGTACTGCTTGTAAAATTAGAAGGAATGACTCGATGGTCCATGATAGCTAGTACCATGTGATTGCAAAACTATTATGAATAAAATAAAAAGAACTGAACTACAAAGTGGTTTTCCCAACGGAATCTCCAGTTTCAGCCTGTAATAAGAAGCTTACAAATCTTCCCCTTTCTCTGCTATCCGCTCATAGGGGATGTTATTAATCTGTTAGTTATCTAATGCACTGTCACACCTTTTTACTTCAAGTGACCAAATTACCTTGTTTGAGTAACAAGATTTGTCGCTTTTCCGTTTTTCTTATTTCCTTTAATTTTATTTCTCGTTTAATTACCCACTTCATCATGGTACAAAAAATGTGATTTAAATAAGAAAGTAACAATGATATTTTTCTCTTATTTGACGAACCTTTAATTTCTTTGGGATAGATTAAATTTAGTTGTAGCTGTATTTAAGGTTTTTGCAAGTGCTGTCACGTGTGCTTACGAACCCAGTAAATGTTGAGTTTCGTGTTGGTTTGAGCAATCCGAGTGGTAATTTGTAAACTAGGATGTTTATTGTGAAAAGGCGCAGCAAATTTTACTAAAAACTACATAAAAGACCAGCTTCGCTCGCAGCTAACTGAACCTTCATAACTTATTGTAATTACGTAACGGCATCGGTGTTATCTGACGCTCCCAACTTGCATAAGTTGCATAAATGTTTAGCAGATTGTGAGATTACTACAAAGTAACGAAATCTTCATGAATAATTTATACTGAGGGCAACGATGCATGATACAATGGGCAAACCTCGTTTTTCTTAGGTAAATGGATGTGGTCCATTCCAAAAATGTTGTCTGTTAAATCTTTGCACTTTACTCTATATGTAATAATGCCGTTCAGGAAATTCCATCCCAGCAATGCCATGTAAATTAGACTAATTATAGTTTATAGTTCAAGTAAGTCGTTTGTTTAGTACAGTATCAGTTAAGAGTGTGTGTAGTTACCAAGTTGCATATTTAGCACACAATCTATTTGTAGTACAATTTCAGAGTAAGTACGAGGGGTATTTTTGCACAAGCAACTGAGGTGTTTTGGGTAGATAGTTAGGCCTTTTACTGGCACCGACGCTTTCGCATCAGTTAATCTTTATTGTAAAATCTATGGCCAGTTGTTGGGATAGTTTATTCGCCGTGAACATTTAAAAAGGTAAATTTTTTCGTTACAATTATTATTAATATGAAATTTGAACATTTTCGCTCCCTTAAGAGATACGGGGAAAACCTAACTCTAATAAACGTTTAATATGACGCACACAAATAGATAAGTTTATTTAGTTCACTCTATTTCGCAATCAAACGCAAGTAATTAAACAATGAACCTCTTTAAATTGTTGCAATCGCAACAAATCGCCGACCTCAAGGGGGTGGAGCCCCTAACGCTTCGTTTCTAATTTCCACAAGTCTGCCGGCTGGAACACTTCACGTAGTGGTTTTGGACCCTAAGGTGTCTATACTGCTTCCATTCGTCGCGCTAAATTATTCAATGTTCATTTCCCAAGAGGAAGTTTTATGTTTCGCCTATTACTGCAGTAGTAAATTAATTTATTATCGCGTTGATATTTTTGGGCAAAGAATTTTGGCACTAAACGTCTCTTGCACTCACTTTTGTAATTCACTTAGCCCTTAACTATAGGACCAACCCGCTTTATAAACTGACTAATTTATCGCGTTAATTGTTGCATACAAATCGCAATATTTGCAATTGCAAGCTTATACCTTACGCGGCCGCTGGCAGAGAGGGAATGAATCTTTTTTTCGCCGCACATCCCTTACTTAATGAGTCATATATCCAAAATGAATGCAGACAGTTTTAATTTCCCGCAAAACTAAACATTTATAATGTTGGAAAACAGTAATAATCACAATTAATTAATTAAAGAAAATTAATTTATCAAGCACAGTGTCACTTTCCGGTTCACGTTTCCAAATATTCACTCATTGCCCGACAGATACTCCTGTTAATTAAACGATCACATCGTTTGGCCATGTTCGATAGTTCTGACTATAAGTCTTTTCTCATTAATGAACCTATGCAGTATGCTTCCTTATCGAAAACTTATATGAAAACATTCGGACATCTTCGTGCGAAGTTTTGCGCCACGTATCCTCGAAAGGCTGTAATAATAACAAATAGTGATGTTCTCGTTCACATTGTTATACCCACCAGCATGATTAGAAAATTTGCGAATTGTCTTCTTGGGGATACGTTCTCTTACATCTCCGACAACTTCCACTACCATGGCAGGTAACACATTTTTCGTTAAATTGGAGTAAACACAACCAACTAGAGTATAAACATCTTCTAAATGTGTGCGCCTTTAATCCTAAAAAGTAAGTTTACACGATCCTTATAAAGTATTTTCTCTTAATGTACGTTTCTTTGGGAAATGTTGCACTTTCAAGAAGCTTTGAAAAGAACAGTCTGGTTTAAAATGCATGGATTGTGGTATAAAAACAAAAAAATAAAAATTTAAAAAAAAACTCACCAAAGGATGACCAATGCCATAAGTAAAAAATATTAAGCGCTAAATTTGAACTGTCTGCAGTTATTCTGGATCACCTGGTATTATCCGAATCCTTTGCTTTTCATGGTAAAACTAATCCTACATACTTTAATACATACACTGTTAACGAAATTTAACCTTTAAGTTACACTGTCAAATTCAAATTTTACCCTACTGTAGGAAGTAAAAAGAATTTTTTTTAGAAACGGTAGGCCGTTACATAATGTCGCATATCTTTAGGTACACAAGTGGGGTTTGAAATTTTAAGCAACGGAAGTATTCGTTCCAGCAATCTGGGAAAATAGAAAACGTGTATTGCAAAAATTCATTATATGTGTAATTACTGGCAGCCTATACGGAATACACCAATTAATCAAATTAATCCCAATGCCATCAGGACTAATTGGCTTAGATTTAATGGACCAAAAGTTCCCAGGAACATATTAAAACTACGCCCCTGACAACCTATTCAACCGGACGTAAGCGCCCTATATTTAGGCCTACAAGATTATTATTCGTTGGTGTTACGCCACTGAATATGTTTAAATTCCGCCTAAAAAACTCAGTTTCGACTATTTCTCTTTAATATCCAAATTTTATTGTCAATTATATAGTTCATTTCAAGAAAAAATCAGCGTAGGTCTTAAAAAATATTAGGGCGTTGAAACTTCGTCTCCAACAAATAATCAAACCATTCACAGTATTACACATTCACATACTTCAGTATGCAAAATCCAAGGACCGTATTCTGCCAATTGATCCAAATTCAGAAAAGCTTGTGCATTAATAATTTGGATGTTACCGGAACCCCTATTGCTCCACACATTCGCGCTTTAGCAATTGATTATTTGAAATTCAACTCGTCTCCACTAGGTACACTAATTTCTTCCAAAACTACTCCAATTGAATCTACCAATTATCGCATTCCTTTTAGCCAATCATATCTCCAGAAACTAGTTTGTTGGTATAAATCAAGTCTGCGTGGACTCCCAAATTAGCAAAATCTGCAGTTTTAAATCTGTGTATCCCCCTTATAAATGCCATTGAGCTCGACCGCACCGTCTTTCTCACTAATTTCGTATATCTCGCGACTTCTTGTCGCCACCAAGCTTTCATACACAAATAATTTAAGGACTGTATCCAGGAACAATTCGCCCAACAACAAGATTTTGAGAAAATCAACCCTATATTAACTTTTTAGTTTTTACTCTTTAGATCTGGTAATCCTCGCTCTAAAAAATCCCGTCACTCCATGAAAATTTAACTACAGACCTAACTTGGAAGCTACCCCCCTTAAAACCGATTCAAACCTTTAAATTAAATCAGCGACTACAGCCATGTGACCTTTTTACTCTAACGGACCGTACCTTATTTGAAGAAGAAAAAATGGCATACGACATCTTGGAAGAAGCCTAATTGTGACACTGCAACAAAAACCTGTACCTTACCTAGGTAGGTACATAGGCAAGAAGTGCTAGACTTTAAACGAGGGCAAAAACCATTATATTGTTACGAAGTGCTCTCTGCGGTAGCCGGTAGGGTTATTCTTTGTCGTCCCTATACGAGGACGTATATATACGGAAGAATATATGTAGGTACTACACAATATCAAATATATAAATCTAAAGCAAAAATTAACAAAATACGAAGAATCGCATACGATTTTCAGTAGGAAATTTTTTTTGACACTCTGCTCTCATTCGAAAACCAGACTTTTAATTCGGCCCATATTCAATAGTACCGATCCTTAAACTTTTAGAAATCGATTGGCGAAGGACAGACAGACAGACAAAGCCATCACATACGCCATACCCCTAAAAATCGTGTTGCAGGCTCCCGTTACCCATTATACAGGGTATTAATTGATTTAGTGTCTAGAATACAGGGTGTGAATCTTCGGGTGATTTTAAGGAGAAAAGTTTATATCGACATATGTCCTAAATCTCTTAGTTTTTGAGCTACAAGTGAGTTTTTTTATCACTCTTGGATATTTTTATTATATTTTGTACACACCTTTTCATCATTAAGGAGCATTTTTTGAAGTAAAAGATTTTTTACAATTTTCAGTGACGTCCGTACGGGGTTTGAACTGACAATTTTATTTATTAAGTTTCTTTAGGACATATGTTGGTATAAACTTTTTTCTTTAAAATCACCCGAGGATTCATACCCTGTATTATCGGCACTCGATTATACACACCCTGTATAATAATTAATGCGGTGTACCTAATTGATCTTTATGAAATTTATTTAATTTTGAAATTCTACCGTGCTTAAAAACCCCCTAACCTTCTTTTACGAATCTATCTCTGATTTGGGTGTTGCTTCATCATTAGTCATTACCATTTTAAAGCCATGTTCCGGTTGTTACTTAGAAATTTATTGTAAACGTGTAAAGGAAAGTTCTTTTCGCTCCCTGGTCGTTATTTAAAACATCTTAAACGTGGTTTTTTTTTAAGTTAATTTTTTCCTAATTAAAATTTTCCTTGCCATCATCACAATAACCCCACATGAAAAGGAAATAAATTATCGTCTTCATTCTAAGAATCTATCATTAAATAACTGATACGATGCTTATTTTGGGAAAGTCACTTTAACGTTACGCAGTTTAGTTGTTTAGTTTTATTATGATTACAGTGTAGTTAGAGACAGTTAAAAGGTAAATTAAAATATTCAAATGTATAATCATTTCTGGTATTGCTGGAACAATATCTCTAAATTCCCTGTTTATGTTGAGGAATTTAGGAGGATAAAATAGACTAGACATGTGTAAAAAACTTACCCCCCACAGGGCAATAATTTACAGTGAACTAAAGGAAGTCTGATAACGAGCGATAGCAAGAATGTGTTGGGGAAAGCGTGCGCTGTTGCCGCGATGTCTTGGGGTTTAAAATTGCGTTCGTTCCATTTTTGAGCCGGCCGTAATGTAGGAATGCAGGTTTACTGTTGACCAATGGGCACGCTGGTTGAAGTTGTTGCGTTCAGTTTGGTGTCATGTAAATACGATCGACACGAGAAAATCAGTGAGATCACTGCATAGTTTCTATCGCAAGAGTGTGCCATTTCCTTCGGGCAATTTTATTGAACGGCAAATTTTAATCACGCCATCGCGAAGGCATTCTCACCCTAATAGTAACTTTCAAAAATTTTTAAAAGAAATCGTTGAAAACTGCGCAAATTGCGAGACAATTATTCAGCGTCCGGAGGTCTGAATTGAGTTAGGCTAAATTTAAGGAAATGGTATAATTTGGGGGTACCAATTTACCATTTTACCACGGTTAGACACATACATTAGGATGTAAAAAAACGATAATTATCTACCGTCCCAAAGTGGTAGCTAATAGAAATGGCGACCAATCCAAGATGGCGGATGCCGGCACAATATACACCTTTCCATCAATATTATCAAACTCTTTGTTTACGTTACAGCTAAAAGCCGTATTTCTTGCAAGACAGTCAGTCTTGTCAGTTGTAAAGTTCTTGTTTCAAGTTAAGAGGAAGCGTGTTTCACGTTATACGAAGACGCTAGTCGAAGTTCTGTGTTTATCAAGCAGTCCTTTTCGTCTGTAGTGTAATTATTATTCATGTTGGCGTCTTTATTAGAGATAAAAGTTAAATCAAAGAATTAGGTAACAAATGCGGT